GGGGTCCGAACTGAAAAGCTTGGTATCAGTTGGTGAAGTTCCCTCGTAAGTCGAGTTAAGAAATGTTTTCTATTCACATTAACATATTGATCGGTTCCACGGTATGTTAATATCTATAGAAATCATTTATTTTTTTTATCTTTCGTTTATTTATTCAATATCTATGATTTATTCTTTTTATTGGAAAAGAAAGAATAATTTATAATACTGAATAAATACAGTTCTTTTTCTCTCTTCGATACCTTGAACAGCTTGTTGGGTGACCGTTCTTTTTCTTACCTAACACCAAAAAACTCTACCTTGTTCAGATACAATAATTCTATATCGTGAAGGTCTTTTTCTACAATACCTTTCTCTTGATATTTATTGTTCACCTTACTGATGGATGTTATCAGCCAATTGTATCTCAATAAGATTAGAGTTTCTCTGTAAGCGCGCGCATTTAAAATAATTCTTTTCTTGTTTAAAAAATTTATTTTTGCTTTTTCATAAAAAAATTCATAACAATACAATTTATTATTTGTTTTTTACATCTTCGAGACTATTTCTATAATCTTGAAGATCAGGATGATCTAAAGGTAATGATTGTTGTGCAATTTGCACGGCACGTTCATAAAATGTACGGGCTTTTGAGTAATTACTCATGTTTTCATATATCAAACCAATGTTGTAACAGGACATAGCCAATTCAGGATGATTGGGAGGAAGTGATTGTTGTTTAATTTCAAGAGCTTTTTCATGAGATGAAAGTGCTTTTGAATAATTATTCATTCTGCGATGCACATTACCAATGTTCCCGTAGGAAAAAGCCAAATCAGGATGATTGGAAGGAAGTGATTGTTGACGAATTTCAAGAGCTTTCTCGTGAAATGAAAGCGCTTTTAGATAATTACCCATGTTTCTATGCACATTACCGATGTTGTTGTAGGAAGAGGCCACATCGGGATGATTGGGAGGAAGTGATTGTTGTCGAATTTCAAGCGCTTTTTCATAAGATGAAAGTGCTTCTGGATAACTACCCATATTTTTATGCACATTAGCAATGCTGTTGTAGGACTTAGCCAAACTAGGATGATTGGGAGGAAGTGACAGTTGTCGAATTTCAAGGGCTTTTTCGTGAAATGAAAGTGCTTTTGGATAATTACCCATGTTATAATGCACTTCACCAATGTTCCCGTAGGAAAAAGCCAAATCAGGATGATTGGGAGGAAGTGATTGTTGTCGAATTTCAAAAGCTTTCTCGTGAAATGAAAGCGCTTTTAGATAATTACCCATGTTTCTATGCACATTACCGATGTTGTTGTAGGAAGAGGCCACATCGGGATGATTGGGAGGAAGTGATTGTTGTCGAATTTCAAGTGCTTTTTTATAAGATGAAAGTGCTTTTGCGTAATTACCCATATTGTCATGCACATTACCAATGTTGTTGTAGGAATACGCTAAATGCAGATCATTGGGAGGAAGTGATTGTCGTCGGATGTCAAGGGCTTTTTCATGAGATGAAAGTGCTTTTGCATAATTACCCATGTTTCTATGCACTTCACCAATGTTGTTGTAGGAAGTAGCCAGACTACGATGATTGGAAGGAAAAATTTTTTGATAGATAGCAAGTGATTTTTCATAGAATGTAAGTGCTTCTTTATATTTTCCTTGATCATATTTGATCACACCAAGTTGATGAGAATTATCTGCCTTGTCTCTATCATCCGTTGCTTGATCAAGTAAAACTTGTTGAATATCTTCAGCTTTGTCAAATTGACCCATTGCAAATAGTACCTTACCCAATCGGTACCATCCTTCACCATTTGGAAAACTCTCTTTTCGAACGTAATCAGTAAGTCTGTTCAATTCTGGATCGTTGTCAGCAGTAAATGTCAAACTAACTTCATATAAACGATTATTTTCACCCATCTGTTTAATATCCTGAACACGAAATACACTATGCATCGAGAACAAGAGTTCCTCTTCCTTCTGGAAGTCACTGATACCAGCAATTGAAGCAAATGGTGTTGTTGATTGAGCAGGATTGATCTTTATAATGAACAGGACACCTATTTGATCTGGATTTCGTGCAGCACGTTGAGAAAAATCTAATGATATGTTACGATTTTTACTAGTAGATAAGAAATTATTGAATGAAATAAGACCACCTTCAATTTTGCTCATTTGTTCAAAATCCTCTGTAGATAAACCTTGACCACGATAAATGGTGAAGGTATCTGCAGCAGTTATACTAGCATATTGTTCCTTGTGCAGTTGTTCGATTTGTCGATGGAGATCAGCAATGAAGAAGCCCATACGTGTAATGATATCACCATTCATCAATCGTAATGCACGATTGAGCATAGGATACAGGAACATTTGACAGCTGTACCAATAAATGGGTGTTTTGTTGTAATATTCACCTTCTAATCGTTTAACGTTTTCAATTTCTTTTTTATTACCTTCAAAAGCATCACGACAGTACTCAAAATAATCTTGAATGTGGTTTTGATCGAATTCGATGGTCAGTAAGATTTCCTTGATGATTTGGGTGTACATAAAAGAAGGATCTAATTGATCTAACTTTTTATTTGATCCCACGAAACTCATGGGAATAGCATTCTGCTCACATTGATGAGCAGCTTCCTTGAGTGCTTCACAGATAGGTGTAATATATGTGAAGACACCCTTTATTTTGGGCCAATCTTTAGCCCACTGTTCATGATGTTTTCTGTTGCCACAAAAGATAAAAATCGAATCAACTTGAGACATACTGTGTACACGAGGTACAGTTTGTTGTCCAAGTGATCCAGATATCATCATAAAAGCCTTTTTGTCGACGATTGTTTCAATGAACTCAAAGCATTGATTAGCATTTGTATATGTATTGATGTCGTTAACAACATGTCGTAATTTTGTGATTGTATTTTGACAATCATCATTTGTTTCGTCAATGTTACTGTCTAACCAGATTAGAAGAACATTTTGCATCTGTTGGATATTAATACGTCGACGACCTTCTGCACCTTTTGGAACTGTAGATGCATCTGTTGTTGATTTTCCTTTGTTCATTGTTTGCTTCGGGAATGATTTGAATGAAAGCCACTGTGTACAATTTACTAGTGAAGTAATGATCGAAAACGAGTTTTTTTTTATAAGTGTCTACTTCCTTGCGAAGCGTTGTTTTTTTCTTTAACTGTTTTTTAATGTTGCTATGAAAAACAAACATCGAGATAGACCACGAAAAAGAATGATTTTATTTGTTTTCATAGCAAAAAACATTTTTGAGTCATGTTTGTTATTTTAGAATCGCAAATGGGAAAAAAGTTTGTTTTTTATATGATCAAGTCTTTGATAAATGGCAGAAGTTGACAACATGTTTGCTGATGGCAGAGATCTGAGTTGGAAAAAAGTGTATTTGTGATCAAATGAACGAAAAAAAGGCTTGATCATGCATTATTTTCTATCTTCCATTAATTATAAATTTCAAATAAGTATAAATGATAATCATTATTATAACTCATGATCTGCATACAAATGTATGAATACATCACTACTTTCTAAATGAATTAAAAATTATTGCCCAATGAAATCTTTTCTTGTAAAACTAGGCGATCAAAAAAATTCCAGTTTTGTTTTCTTTACGACGATGCAATAATGAATGGCATTCAATATAAAGCAAAAAAGCGACATTTTAGACATTTTGAAACAGAATTAAAAATGAGCGGTTTACAATAACTTAAACAAATCTACTGCCAAGACAAATTATTATAAAGAATTTTTTTTTCGGTTGTAAGTTTTAATTAGTTGTAGACTATATTTCTTATCATCTGTGACAACGTTAACCTACACCAAGAATGATCTCATTATCCTTCGACTACAAATGTTCGATGTGTATTCAGCGAAGATTCCCATGATAAAAATACAACATACATCCATTTCTTTATCCTTTTTGCCCATGAATCACATAGCTTGACACATCTTCCAAGATCTTTTAAAGATATAAATACTTTTGTTGTCGAAAAGTAAAAGTGTATGTATGTTGCTTAAAAAACATAAAATCATTCTGTGGAAAAAGATGAAACTTGATAGAAGCATTGATTTATTATGCACATGGTTTTGTTTGACTTCGTCTGAAAGTTTGCAAATATGACGACCATTAGTGATCAACAAAATTAATTCACTGGCAACGAACAAACAGAAAGCAAAACAGCAACGTATTTTTATTTTTATTTCCATCTTTTTTTCGTTCTTATCGATACAGTCGGTGACAAGTGTGTTGGTAGAAGAAGAGAATGTGAATAAAAATGTTATAGCAATGGAAAGATGAAGTTGTAGATTTTTCTTTGTCCCTTCACCTCTTTACTCCTAAAGCATACGTGTTCAATACGACTCAACAAAAAGACAAATTATAGCATCATATAGTGTAATATATGATGGTTAGTCTTCATGTTCAGTAACAATCTATACGTTAGAATTCAAAAATTTCATTTTCATAGAATAATACTTTAACAAAATATAAATCTCATAAATCATCACATGATATTTTAATGAGGAAAAGATTAAATAGGTTCCAACAATGTAACATCATTAAACTAAGCAATTAATCCTATTTCAGAAAAGCCTAATTTGTTTTCATAATAATCTCACTTATGCAATCGAGAAGAAGGAATTTTCTATTTACTGTGTTACGTATGTAATTTGTTGTCTATAAATAATAAATAATAGTAATTAAATTGCCAAAAGGATTAAAAAACAAATTAAATTTCAATTAAGTAAAGATCACATTTTCTTTTAGTCTATCCTCTTCTCTTCTAACAAAGGCAGTGTAGTCATTCATCCAGCTTTTCCTCTTAGAAATACAGCTGACTAATATTTAACTTCAGTACAATGAATTCATCTAATGTTCCGAACGTGAATGTATTTGACAGCGTTCTTAGTTATATATATCGATTTGTCGGTATTCCATTATACATATCTGGGAATCTTGGAATTTTACTAAGTGCTTGGATATTTCATCGAAAAGCATGGCGCAAAAACGTTTGTGTTTTTTATTTCTTCATTTCACTTCTGGCTAATTTCATCAATATCAACAATATTTTGCTCAGTAATATCTTTGTCTATGGTTTTAACTCGCAAGTATTAAATCGTAGTAGGATCTTATGTAAACTATTTAATTATGTATCATTTGTCTTTGATGAATTTTCAACAAGTATTCTTGTGTTTGCTTCAGTTGATCGTCTTTTAATTTCGTCGACAAATGTGGAAACACGTTTGTATAGTTCAAAACGTTTAGCTTATTTTTCTCTTAGTTTAAGTATTATTATTTTGTCTATTTACTTTCTTCATGCTCTCATTAAATTCGATACTTATCAATTTGGTCCATTTATCTCCATTTGTTTTTTTGGATTTACTGGATTTTATCCTGATTTTGTTCACTATTCTCAATTGATTCTTAATCTTGTCTTATATTTGTTAATGATCGTTCTGTCTATTTTCTCATTTAAAAATGTTCGTAGAATAAGATCGACTCCACGGCAACAACGACAGGGTATTCGAACAATGCATAAGAAAGATTTTCAATTACTTCGTTGCTTATTCGCGAAAAACATTGTTCATATCATTGGCAGCAGTCTCATCGTCATCTATACAATCTATAAAGCGGTAACAAACTCTCAAATATCAACAGCTTGGCAGCAGGCACGTGACAATTTCCTGTTTAATCTTGGGCTTTTTATTCATTCGATTCCTTGGTGTACCGATTTTTACATCTATACCATTGTCTCCAAAACTTTTCGTCAAGAACTAAAACGTATGATTTGGAAATTCTTTAGTCAAAATCTCGTGATAGAACGCGAAGAAGACAAAGTACAAGAAATAAAAGATGAACCAGCGGAATTACGCATTGTCAGCACTATTACACTAACAAATTAAATATCAAACGAAGGAACATACTGTCGTGTGTTCTCAGACGGCTCTTGAACTAATCTTTATGTATATCATGTCAATGCTTTCTGTCTTACTCTGAACGAATAAATGAACATTTATTTCTTTATTTTCTTTTGGGTATGTTTATCGATGATTGATGATGTAAATGTCAGTCTTCTTTAATTTTCTCACCCACACCCTCATTCCTTTGATGGTGACATCTAGAAATTGTCAGCATTATTTTTTCAGTATTTTTGTGTCGATTTTGTTCTATTCTGTCATGAGTCACGTATTACATGCTTTGTAAACTGTTATTCGTTCTTTCATCATTTTTATTTCGTTGAAGTTGTGCAAGAAAAATACCAATAATAAAATAGAATATTCATTGCTATTTGATACAGTATATATCATCATGGCTATGAAGCGACATAATCAGAATGGATTTACATTATTTGAAAGCATTCCGAATGAGATTTTTATGGAAATTTCATCTTATATAACTTCCACTGATGCAGTCATCGCATTCTCAAATCTCAATTCTCGTTTTCAAGATTTACTCACCGAATTGTGTCATACATTCGATTTTTCATCAATCAGTAAGAAGAACTTTGATACGATTTTTCAATATCAGAATACCAATCGATGGCATTCATTAAAGCTGTCCGATGATGAGCATACACGAGGACAAGTGAAATATTTCTTTGAAAATCATTCTCTAACTGATAAATTCTCTCAACTACAATCCTTATCAATCGTTAAAATGAAAACTAATAGTCCATATCCACTATTCTCTCAGCTTCCATCTCTTTCGAACCTGGTATCCCTTGAAATTGAATCCATATGCGGAGAAAATATTCCAGAATTCGAACTTCCAAATCTAAAAAAACTCATTTTTGGCTCATGTCCCAATACAAATTGGCTCAAAGTAAGCAATCAGTTGAAATTCACCGAACCACAACAGATAATTCATTTTTTTATTTCTGTAGAATTTCGCTCAACTTGATACAATTGAATATACAATTACAGATCGTTGTACAAAAGATAAACTATTAGCATGGCCAGAAACATTAAAATATCTAAAGATCATCTATCAAGATCATCGGGATTGTTCACTCATTCAAAACTCACTAGTCAATCTATCTTTATTAATTGATCTTGAAATTTATCAGAAGACACCAGACGGACCTTTTCCTCGTGGTGAAACATGGGAACAAATAATTACTACATCAATTCCACCCTTAAAAAATTTCAAATTCTATTTTCAATTCATATGTCATGATCGTAACTTGAATGAACTTAAACAAATCGTAACATCTTTCTCTACACCATTCTATGTACTTGAAAACAATTGGTTTATTCGTTGTGATGTATCTGCTTATTATGAAATGCCTATTCATGATTATAAATATGGCACGTATAATACAAATATGAGACACGTTATTCTCTATACAATACCAGTCTCTTCTGAAGTATTTACAGTTTTCAAAACTTTTTCAAAAACGAAGATTTCAGATTGGTCGAGAAACTATATTGATCATCCGAGTATCAACATACATACAAATATGAAAACATTGATATTTAAATCCTCTTCAACACCAGATCCTATGTTCGATCGAAGTTCTATCATCAATGTAATAATCAATACTTCGTTTGATGCACAACCTTGGCTTCATATGTTGACTAAATTACGACACATCACTATTGGTGATGGCACAGTATTATCCTTGGAAGATTTTACTATTTTATTGGATAATGCACCACATCTATCTTCATTAACTGGCAAAAAGAGTGCACTAAAACTACTGACAGATAATTGGACTGATATATGTATCTGTCATCGTCTTTCACGGAAGATTCGTTCATTAACTTTCACTTCCGATCGAAATTCATCACAAAATTTTGATAAAAATGAACTTGAAAGAATCTTGCCAATTTTTTCTTCTCAATGTCAACATTTATCGTTAGGTGTTCATTCACACAAAAATATTATTGATTTTATCTTACGAAAGATGTGTCACTTGATCAGTCTACATGTGCATAGTCAACGAGACAACTGTCCGCCAATTACCATAGAATGGTTAGAACAACAAAACACACGATTCAATCGCACCAATTGCATTATTACGAATGTTCGACGAGATTATTATTTTTGGTTAGGTTAACCACCATGATGAGACCTGACAAGTTCCCTACAAAAAGAGTGTGAATAAGGATCAGTCTTCTGTTCACTTATCTCATCCTTACGAACTCAAAAATGAGAAAAAAACAGACAAACATTAAAATACACACACGCAGATTTGAAAACAATAACAATAAATATGAAAGTGTGAGTGTGGGCCCTCGTTTCGTATATATGATATGAATATTTTTTTCTCTTCATTGTTTGCAGCAGTTCATAGCGAGTACCATCAGATGTATTATTTTTCTGATAGATTATAATGAAAAATAAGGAATAAATGTGTCTCTTAATTGTTAAAGAGATCATTAATAAACCCTCACTATAAACTGCGAAAACGTGTAGGATTGTAAAAATCAATAACTCAATATATTAGTATAGTGACATCTATTCTTATAATTTAAAAATTTATATTTCTTTCGTTCTTGTTTTTCTTAAGGCTTCTTAGTTTCAGCATTGAAAGAATTGATTATTTTAGGCATTTAGTGATTCATGTGCATGCATATGGCATGTCCTCATATAATAGGAAAAGAAAAAATGCCTAGTCCTACACTTCTTCTTTTTACAGGATTTGGCATGACATATATAGTCTACATTTCATTTTAGTAAATAACATGTCAACAACAACCTCAAGCGATATTAAACTTCGACTTTTTTATTGGGACTGTCGTGGTCGTGTTCAAGCTGTTCGTTATATGCTTGAAGATATTGCATATACACATAAAAATGTTGACTATAAAGAAGATTTTGAAGTGCTTGCAAATGTAGTTCAATCGTGGATGAAGCATAAACCCGATGAGAATATTTCCGGACCATTCCATAATTTACCGGTTCTTCATTGGAATGACACGCATACTTTTGGTCAAACTTTAACAATTGGTTTCCTTAATAAATGATAAAATAAATATTTGATTATTATTTCTTTTTTTATAGGACAATTCTTAGCACGAAAATTTGATTTATATGGTAAATTAACATCATCAATTGATGATAAAGATTTCTTACAAGGTTATATTGATGGTGTTGTATCATGTGCATACACAGATATTATATCAAATGTATTAAGTGCTATATGGAATTGTGTAGATTTTGTTGATGAAAATCTTTATACGAATCGTATAGCAAAAACAATTCCAAATAATTTGAAAGCATTGAATAATTTGCTTAAAAATAGTTCAACATCATTTTATTATGATCAAACAGAGCCAACAATTGCTGATTATTTTGTTTTTGACGCATTTACATTGGCACGTGATTATTGGCAAAAAATATTACCGGATGAAAATGATCGTCAAGAATTAATGAAATTAGAACAGGCGATGAAAGAACGACCAGGAATAGCTAATTATTTTAGCAAAAATTTATTACTTAAACGATTAACTGGTTCACCAAAAGAAAAGGAATATTTGGCAAAACTTGCTGAAACACAAAAATAACTTTATTTTCTTTTAACGTTTTTAAAATTATAGTTACATTTGGGATCATTTAACTCATTTTAAAATAAAATTTATTATTTGTCAAGGACTTTTATCTAGGAGATTAGCGATAAAAAAACGCACTGATGATCTGATGAAATATATCGAGTATGCACTGAGTATTGACATAAATAAGTGAAAAGAATTATAAATCTGAGCGTACCCGTCACAATTTTGAGTTCAATAAGGGTTATAAGCCCTGAAAAATCTCTACATACATAATAACTTAACTGAGATTACAAGGTACAAACTAGTATAACAATCTTCGATATAAATAAACAACATCTTACTGATTAAAGTCTAAAGTTAGATATTTGCTATAAGCATAATATGTAAAAATAGAAATTTTTATTTAATTAAAAAAATATGTCTGTAACTGACATACTTCAATATCTCCTAGCCTTTTTTAAACAACACAGAGGGCGATAGTATCAAAAGTAAAGGATATAACTAAAACGTATAATGGTTTTAATTAAAAGAAATACGATTGGTGATTTAATATAAATATTATGATTCACAGCAATGTCAATAGTATACGAAGAAAAAGAAATATACATTCTATCAAACGATTTTAAAATAAATCATGTCAACATCAGCAGATTCCGATAAAATCAAACTTCGACTTCATTATTGGGATTGTCGTGGTCGTGCTCAAGCATTTCGTTATATGCTTGAAGATATTGCATATACACATAAAAATCTTGATTATAAAGAGGACTTTGAAGCATGTGAAACAATATCAAACACATGGGGAGAACGTAGAACAGATCATACAATATCTGGTCCATTTCGAAGTTTACCAGTTCTTCATTGGAATGATACACATACATTTGGACAAACTTTAACAATAGGTTCATATAATATAATACCAATTTTTTCTCTTTTTACCAATTCTATATTTTAGCACATATCTTAGCAAGAAAATTTAATCTCTATGGAAAAACTACATCAACATACAATGATCCAATTTTATTAGAAGGTTATATCAATGGTATTGTTACTTGTGCATATACTGATGTTATAACAAATATATTACAGGCAATTTGGGCTACACCTGATATTGAAGATATGCATAGTCCAGGATATTTTCAAATTGCAATGGCACGAGATAATCTTGAATCATTAAATAAAATACTTAAACAAAGTTCAACATCATTTTATTATAATCAAACAGAACCAACAATTGCTGATTATTTTGCATTTGAAGCATATTTAATGACTCGTAATATGCATCGGAAATTATTACCAACTAATTGTGAAGCATTAGAAAAACTTGAACAAATTATGAAAGAACGACCAGCATTAGCAAACTATTTTCAAAATAATCGATTATTCAAACGTATAACAGCCGCTCCTCATGAAGAGGAATATTTACAAAAACTTTCGAAAATTAAATAAAAAAAAAAATTTTTATACAGTACTTAAAGTAAATCGTATATTCGATTTGAATCAATACTTTCTTCTTTTTATTATGAATAAAAAATAGAGATTGAAAGAAAACTTAATATTATTATAAGCATAATTTCAATGTAATAAAAAATACGTTAGTTTTTTCAATTCGATATTATAAAATAAATGGATTTTCTATGATTCTATGACGATAGTAATAAACTCAAGTAGATTGTCTATTGTATATTTCACGTAAATAGATAATTTCTCACATGTTTGTAACATATGTTTTCTAATACTATAATCAATTTGTCTATACAAGTAAATATTTTCATAAATCAGTTGTTTTTCTACATATCTCTTGTAAGTTATTTGCAATCTACGAGCTTTCATAAAATAACAATAGAATTTTACAGAATATAATTAATTTACATTATTCTGTACAATAGTTTTCGTTAGAAGAAGAAATTTCAATCATTAAATTTCTTTCTCCATAGTGAAGACTATTGTTACTCTCAACTATGTGATTTTTATAAGTCTTTTAACGTTCTTTATATTGTTTTTACAGGATTATTGAACTTTTTGATAGGTTTATAGTCAAGTAAACTCGATACTGTAATAAATGAAAATCTTATAAAACTAACATTTTAATTATTAAACGTGAAAAGTTTCATTTTTCCATATGTCCCTCAAGCTAAGTTGTATGTCGGAGTTTCATTGTTGAACCTGTAATTACATGAAATAACAGGTATTCATATTACTTTTCAATCATAGATCGAATTGATTGATAGTTAGAGAAAAATCAAGATAAGACGAATTGAGAATCAATTTTGAATATCGAAATGAACAGAAAAACAACGAGTACGAACGGAATAAAAAAACTGAAAAAATAACCATTAGAAGGGGATCTTCTAATATATTTTTTTGCGTCACTTATTCAAGGGTAATCTTTTAATGCACCGCCGGCTTTAGTATAGATTGCTAATAATAAAAATTTTACATCGATAATTAAAAAACATGAATGAAAGGTTTTAATCGTCCCATTTATGCTTCTATAAATATCATGCATTATTAATAACAAAGCAGACTAATTTAAAATGTCTTTATCTATCAAAATAAGACTACGTACGAAAGATTCCTACATAATTGCAAGAAGAAAACTTTAGAAAAAAAAAGAGAACAATCATTTTTTCTTTTTCAATAGAAGCTTTTATCTATAATAGGTCGCGATTATAAAAGTACTAAGTATCATTTTCTAATAATAGTACTAGCATGTAAGATGAAACGAGCGCCGTCTTCTATTTATTATTTATAAAAAAATATGACCCGAAGGAACCTACTTTCATCTACATGTCTTTCTAAGGTAAGTTTAAAGAAAATCTTTGCATAATTAGTAACATGACAAAAATAAATCTACTCATTAATTAATATCACATCGAAATTGTTTTGCTTAAATATATGTTTTATTATAATTAATGTTGTAAAGAATTATTTGTTATCAAAAAAAAAATCAATGCAGTATCTCAAGTATTGTTACGATCAGATAATTGATAAAAATTAGTATGTTTGGAAACGAAATTTGCTTTTGGATATTGAAAATGAGTATCATAATATCTCACTGGAAGTGATGGTTTATTATCATTTGGGTTTGTTTGATTGAAACTATTTGTTGACTAAAATATAAATCAATAGAAAAACTAAGAAGAACAAAAAATATGATTATACCCGCACCGATTGTGAATTATGAAGAGCATGTAGAGCATTAAATCGACGAGGTTGAGTTTTTGTTGCACGAGCACCATCTTTTCCCCACCAACCACTTTGAGTTTCAGTATGCTAAATAAAGTTTTAGTTTTTTTTTTCGGAATAATTATTATATAAAAGAATGTTATACTTGTAAGTCAGCAATATTATCTTCTTGACGAGCAATTTGTTGTAATCGAGCTCGTTGTTCTGCTTGTTGAGCAAGATCATTTCGTATTGTACGAATTTCTTCAGGACTATGAGTATCTTGTGTACCAGTATTCTATAAAAATAAATTTATAAAAATGAAAATTAAATAGAATAAGCATACGTGACGAGTTATTTGTGTTGTTGGTTTATGAAATTTTAATGGATAATGACCACCTTCTAATTGAGCTATCCAACCAGCAGTACCACCATCCTAAACAAAAATTTAAATTAAACAAAAAATAATTAAAACTATTTTACATTTAATCGTCGTTCCATTAGTTCTTCTTCTCGACGTTTTTGTTGTATTTGAGCATCACGTTTTTGTTCATCTATACTTTCACTATAATATTGATTTCGGTACAAACTAAGTGGACCAACTGTATTCTAAAATATTTTCATATACAATCCTTTTTTTATTTTGTCTTATGTAAAAATTTACTAATTTTTCTTCTAAACTACCAGCATATCTTGTAAATTTTTGTCCAGTATGTTGATGAACTAAAGGAGCACCGGCACCAGGACGACCCCAAGGTTCATATAAATTTTGTTGAGGAATAAGATTAAAAACTTGTTGTGGTTCCTTATTTGGATCTACAAAAAATAATTAAATTATCTTTGCCTTGTCTACTTATTATTTACCAAAGGACATAAATGGATCATGTGCATCGCCTTTAACTGGCTGTGCAGTTGATGATGAAACATGAGATGAACTTTTATTACCATAAGTAGTCTAGAATATAGATTAAGTTATTATAATCGAAAATTAATGAATGTAACAAATGTAATTTCGTTTTCTTTTTTAATCTCTTGTGTATTAGATATCTCGTAATAGATATATATATATTAATTATTGTTTAATAACTTACTGTTCCGTATAGACGATGAAAATCAGGAACATTATTTTGAGAGGTTGAAGATTGTATTGTTCTAGGTGAATATTGAGAAGAATTTTTATCTGTTGATTGTTGTAATAAATTATTAATTCCATTAGGTACATTTAATTGTTGATAATGAAGTGATAATTGCTCAGGTTTCCTTAATAAAAGTGGTATTGGTTGAGTGCTTTGTGATACAATTTGTTCTAAATCTTGTTTTTCTAATTAAAATTATATTCCTATTATACATATATTAATCTTTAAAATAAATCTTACTAATAGGAGTACTATAATCATGTCTTCCAAATACTGCTTGTTGTTTTGCCTATATAAAAAAAATATTTGTTTACATAATAATAGATCATTAAATCGGGTGTTGATGTATGTTATTGTTTTATGTAAACGAGAAGAAAAACAAATTGTCAAGGTTATTAGAATATTGTTATTGTTTTTAGTTAAAAATTTATTTACATATTTTTTATCTCGTTCAAGTTTTGTTTCCCATTCGAGAGTATTTCGTTGTTTTTGTTCAGCTAATTGTTTATCTAAGTCACACGAGAATTGAAATAGAGAAAAAACGAAAAATTTTGTTCTAACCAAGATCAATTTTATATTTCATTTTTTGAATATCATGTTGTGATAATGAAGCTAAAGGACGAGTTGTATTCATATTAAGTGAGTTTTCATATCCAACATTTGATGGCGGTGGTGAATAAAATGCTGTATCTCTGGATGAATTTGTCATTTTTGATTGACTTCTTTGAGAACGAAATGTTTGAATAAATGAATCTAAATCTTTTTCAACTGGATTACTAATTTAATAAAAAAAAAAGTTGCAGAATTAATAAAAATATTTATTTTTATTTATTTTTTGTAAAAAAAAATCTTAGTACAATTGTGTAGAACTCAGAAACATTAGAATAGTTTATATTGTCTCACTTTTACTTAATTATCTTTTTTTCCTTTCATATAAATATATTTGATGCGTACAACATGATGATAATTTGAGATGATCAGTTGATTATATTAACCTAAAATATGAGAAAGCTATATTCATAAGAAAAAAAAACATCAAATTACAAATGTAATATAATATTGTCTGTTCGATAATCAGAATAATAATTAGGGAAAGTGAGTAAGAAGTTTTTTTAATAAGCTAGGGAATGAAAAGTATTTACCAAAAACAAAAAAATAATAATAATAAAGAAAATATCTTTTTGTTCTTTTAACTATTACGACTATGATAAAAAAGTAAAGAATGAGGGTGTTTTAATTAAGTAGTGATTGACCGCATACTGCCATCGTTACTGTTTTTTTTCTCTTCGTTTATATGTTTTTCTTCTATCGAAACATTCAAACATAACCAAGGTTGGCAAGATCAACAATTCTATGTTAAAAATGAAGTCACAAAAAAAAAATATCTTAAGCCCATTTAACAAAAATCAACAAAGAACAGTTAAAAGTTTTTCTCGTCTTTTTTTCTTTTTTTTTTTTGAAAAAAAACAGAACATTATATTTTTATTTTCATCAATTTTATTCGTTTCAATGAATATATTTAATTGGTTAGATATAATAAGAAATGATTAATATTTTAATTATAACATCTAAATGCCTTTGGATATACTTTGTTATTGAATTTTTTGCTCATCTAACTAGAAGAGGAAAGAAAGAGAAAGAATTTTTTCGTTTCCTTATATAAAACAGAAAATTAGTCTTTATCATATCTACATCATTCTATGCTTAAACGATATAGCTGTCGTTTTCTTTTCCAGTTATTATTCATTATTTAGAAATTTTGACAAAATTAATTATAGAATTATTAATCTTTTAATATTCTATATGAATCTATTCATAGGTATTGATCCGTTATACAGATTCTCTGTTAAATTAGCTTTGTACAAGTTATTATTTATGTCAAGTATTATTATTTAACATGTATAAGTAGATGAAATATCAAAAGAATGATTACATTTATAATGAGAACAAGCATAAAATATAATTACAAGTTTATGATTGGTTTCTCTGAAATGAATATTATAATAATCTCGAGCAAGTATATTTCATTATGTAGATGGGATAATAAATAAGAAGTTATGTTTGATGTGTATTCATCTTTTTTTTCTTCTTAGTACGAGTTATGATAATTCACATACGTCAACACGTTTTTTTCCTTATTAAAGTCAGGAATTCTATTTAATAATAAGGTACAATGAGTAGTATTCAGTAGATAATTATATATATTGTAAATAATTTTTTTTATTCGTTTACTATTGATCAACTCATGCAGTAAAATTTAGTTTATTAATAATAATTTATATTAATATATATATTTCTACATGTCATTTTTTATTATGAGGGTAATGATTCAGAAGATATAGGCCATATGTACGTCGAAGACGGATGAATTTTGTCATGCTGTTTGTTTATTTTCAGCTTATATTATATTATTTTTTTCTTTTCATTTATTAGTATGTTGATAGGATACTGGAAAAGAAAGTAAGTTAATTTATCAAGCAGAATAGTGGAAGTAAACATGTAGTATATTATTATTTCTTTTTTTTTGAACTCATGAATATGCTAATTTTATTGCATTTTATAAAAAGAAAAATATTAAGATAAATGAAGTGTGTTGATTATTTTGACATTGTTCCTATGGAATAGAAGATTATTTTCTGATTCTATAAGTAAATATTTTCTATAGCATTTTCCTACTTCCTGTTATTGTCATTCGCTTCATTAATTATGTTATCAATTGACTAAAACATGTGTACGTGTTCAATAAAAGTTACGCATTGATCTTCTTTTCTTCTTTTAGATAAGCAAATAATATCTAAAGGAATTTTTCTTTAATACTTTCCAAAAATATTTACTGATGAGTAATAGATTTCATTCGTCAAAATAGAATTTCTTTTTCTTTTTTATTACTTTTCATCATTTAAGATAAGCTTGTCATGCCTGTCATTATGACTTCTCTTTTTTTTCCCTATTCATTACATTCTCAATATTCTTAGAAAATGAAGAGGTTGGAATTTGATAGAATTTATCATTAAAAACTTCGACATATTTCATAATATTGATTTATTTAATTTTTAGATTTTTTAATTAATTAAAAATGAATAAAATAAATAATCTATAAGAAAATGTTTTAAAATTTAAAATGGTGTCAGAAGAATTCTTAAATATATTTCGTCGAATAGTGGCAATACTTTGTTGTATATTTGGATTACCAGGAAATATTTTAACAATAATTGTTTGTATAAAAGCACTTTATATTCGAACAAATCATTTTCAACGAAAAGTATTTCATTTATATCTCGTTGAAATATCTATATTAGGTAAGTTAGAATTCTTCTTTTTTTTTATTATTAACCACTTTCAAGAAAGAAAACTCGGAACTAAAAATTTTAATTATCTTATAGTTAGAAACAAAAAATAAAACAAGAACGCTTACTGACATTAATGTAGAAAACAATTTCTCTGTAATCAAGTTTACTTGATGATACTATCAAGAAATCTTTTCCTTTATAATCAATAGACGTATAGTTTCCGACCTATCAAAAGAAATTCTTGTCTGTCAAAACGATCATATTTAATTTCCTTAAAGTAAACACAGAATTTTTCTTCTCACTTTTTAGACACATGTCTATTACTCTATTGGATTATTGAAACATTATTAAATTATCTTCATGAGATAAAACGAATTGAATTTTTATCTTTAATGCATATATCACCATTTTCATGTTATTTTTATTATATGTTCAATCGTATATGTGCTGCACTTTGTTCTTGGCTTTTAACATGTTTTACATTTATACGTTTTATTAATATATTTCATCAATTTAATACAATTAAATCGAATATTATACTTTTAACATCACTTATTATTATATTTTCATTAGCAAATAGTTACTCATTTCTTGTATTAGAATATAATCCGGAACAAAAATTTAATAAAACACAAAAAAATAATGCAACTACTATTGATTATACAACAATATGTAGTATACGTTCAGAATATGCTAATGATAATTTAACATTATTAATGAATATACTTATTGCTGGTGTTTTAAGTTTAGCTATACCATCAATATTAATTTTAATTGTTAATGTAACTATTGTATGTTTTATACGACGTATTTATTCAACACAAGCTGATGATAAAGTTAAACGTCGTTCGGATATAACAAATTATCATTCAACACGTTCAACATTACTTGTTATATCAATGACATATGTATTATTTTATATACCATATTTAATTTTTAATTTTCTTATGATTGTATCAGAAGATCCCAATGGAATAGTACATTATTGGGCAGAAATAACATCTATATTTCGTCATGTTAGTCATTCAGTTAATTTCTATGCATATCTATTTACAAGTCTGACATTTCGTCAGGAAAGTTTATTTTTTTTACGTTATTTATTTCGACCATGTATTTATTTCAAAAAACGACAACAATTTAAACAACGAATTAAACGATCACAACTTATTATTATAGATAAAAGCCCATTACCATTACCGCCTGTACCATTACATAGTTCATTAAATGGAAAATCTCCTCAACAAGTCTATATTCGACGTGTAGATCAAATTAATTATAATCAAGACGAACAAAACTTAATTGGAAGAAATAATGAAACTTGGATGTAGATTTCATTCTAATATATATATACAATACTAGTCTGTTTTTCTTCTTCTTTATTGTCATAAAAATAAAATAAAATAAACTTTGCCAGTACAAATTTTTAATTATGTTATACTTAACGGCAAATAATTGATCTCTTTTCTATTTACTTTCAAGCGTTAATAATTTTCTAACATACATTATTGTTATTAAAACTGAAGTATACTTAACAACAAAAGAGATTTACAAAAAAAAGGAAAGAGTGATGACGTTATTGTTTGTATGACTGAGTAAACATATTTAAACATGAACGCGGTTTTTCAATGTCATGTTAATACGAAATGTTCCATACGCCTACCTTAATCTTTTCCTATCCTTATGATATACCGTCTGCATTGTAGCAGTATTAATTATATTTAGTTAATAATGATTATATTGTATTTTTCTGCTACAGAAAATCTTCAAACTACATATAATTTATCTGAAAATCGAGATTATTAGATGTAAATATTCAGTACATTGATCTGCATACTGTGCATTTAATTAAGTTCTTTTGACAGGCAAATATATATATGCAAGCTAGTAAAACATAAACAATCGATGTTTTCGATTAATCAATAAACTCGTTATTCGAAGCAATATGTTTATTTAATAATTATTCTATTTTTTTATATTGACCTAGAATAAACATTATTAACTGTTTTTACAATTCTTCAAATGCATATATTTCAGTGGAAGATAATTATATGATCAAAAAAAAAGCCCTGTTTCAGAAAAAAAACAAAATTATTCTATTTTTATTATAAATTATAAGTCTACATTTACCAGATAAATGTCATTTGACAATTGTCAACCGTTATGTATTTACCATAATAGGATCTAAATTGTCATTGAAAAGAAATTGCACTGAATTTGTATTAATTGTAAAAAAAAGTGCTACGCCAATACTAGTACAAGTGTTTCTTTTACTTTTTTATTGCGCAGAAAATAATTATTGATGCTTTGATTTGAATTTTTTATTATTCTAAAAATTTCGAATAAACTTACTAGTTTATTATCTGCATATAATCGAGTTCAATAATAAGCTAATTCATCATCTTCGTCATAGTTTAAAAGAAATATCTGTATGGATTTAAATACTTCAAAACAGTAGGAAATGAAACGATTGTTTATTATTCATCAATCAAAAAATTCACCATAGCAAATATAATCAATAATCTGTTTATTAAAAACACCTTCTTACTTCAAAATCTTAGAGAAGAAATGATAGAGATAACAAAACTTTAAATATTATTCGAAAAGATTTTTTTCCTCTAGTATTTGCTTTAGCGAAGGACTTATTGATATCAAATGTAGCTGTAGTTTATAATCAAGGTGAGTACGTTTTTTTTTAATTTATTTGACAGTTTTCTATTCGAGTTGTTTTTATCAAATTCTTTGATAAGATCTTAATTCAATATAATATGACTTATGTTAAATTCGACGTTGAGTTAGATATACTGCATAAACTTCTACAAGTTTTACATTGATTAATTAAAGAAAGTAGAATAAAAGTTATTTTGCTAGATGTATTTAAAAAGTACAAATACAAAAAAATATTAAACACTGGAATAATAATAAACGGTTGTATCTAACCAATGCTGGATTATATATTTAGAAAAAAAGTCAAATAACTACAGATAGACGATAGAATTTGTATTGCTGCATTTGTTTACTATAAAAAAAATTTAATAGAAAAAATCAGATAAGTAATTTAAACGATGAACTTACATGAGATTTTTTAGCTTTGTTAGCAGCTTGATCAGCACCAGATTTTACTTTATCGGCACCACTTTTTACAGAATCACGAGCTTTATTAATAGAATCATCGGATGTTATTTTATCTTTCTATTAAATATAGAATTGTTATACTATAGAACAAAAATATATATTATATACTAACATTATCTTTAATCCAATCTTTTGCTTTATTAACTGCATCTATAAATAATAGAACTGAATAAATATAAAAAGTTTTAATAGAGAATAATCTAACCTTTAGCTGAATCAGCCATATTACCAGCAGCTATAGGTAGAACACAATGAATATATATGAACAATTCTATAAAAAAATTAATTTACCATCACGTGCTTTATCAGCATAATCACCTGCTTTCTCTTTGATTTTATCAGTTGTTGATTGGTCACTATTACCAAAGCCACCTGATGTTTGAGAAGCTGAACTACTTTTATTACCAGAACTACCTCCTTGTTGACCAAAGCCACCTGATGTTTGAGAAGCTGGACTACTTTTATTGCCAGAACTACCTCCTTGTTGACCATGACCACCTTGTTGACCATGACCACCTTGTTGACCTTGACCACCTAATGGTTGAGATGATGAACTGTTTTTATCTGATGATTGAGATTCTGGGCCACTTCCACCATAACCACCTGATGTTGTATTACTGCTATTGCTGCCTGGACCTTTAGTACCAAGTGCACGCACAAAACTTGTTTGTGCAACTATAATATCAAATAAATATGTGTTTGTTTATATTAATTTAAAAAAAAAAGAATTTTTTTTATTTACTTCTTGAACCATATAAGAATGTACGTGTAAGACTACTAGCCATGTTATATATTATACGTTAAATAAATGATATGAAATCTAGAGAAGAAAAAAAAATCGATTTTTACTCGATGAGCTTAATATGTTTCATCGTACATCGAATAAAGAAATGATACAATTGCGTAGATGAAATATAACGATAAACACATGTATTCACCGATATCTAACACGTGCCATTTACACGTGAAAATATTCTACGAGATTGTTCGAAGATATTAGTAAATTATTATACAGAGAAAAATTCTATCGAAGAATATTCTTAGTTAATGATAATTAGATTAGTATCAATATCAGATAAACTTAGTAAACTATATTATAAAATCAAAAATAATAGCGACATCTAATATTTACTCGTTCCTCTTACGCGTATACTCCGATTATTCGAATGGTACAGTCTTGTAACTTACTATGTATGTATATATATACCTGTGGTTATATTTTTTCGACGTAATTTATATTTTTTTGTGTTGACACAGAGAACAATAATACTTTTATTGGTTATAATACAGAATTTCTACCCCTATCACTATCTGTTGGCATTTTTATATTTTTTCAAATAAAAATAAAATCAAAAACTTGATAGTAATAAGTCTTGTATTGAGTGATATATGATGTATTAAATATAAGTCAAAATATGTCTCAAAAGAAAATGAAAAAATCAAGTGACATCTGTATAAGTATCGAGAAATTATAGTCTTCTATTTAAAGCGAAGATCATTATATAGATCACGGCTTTATCTTATTAATTTAAAACTGAAGTTTATAATAAAATGTTCAAAAGATTTATTCGAAAACTTGCTGATTATTCCTATAATTCACTATAATCTACGTAGAAACATAACTATATATAAATCTAATTGATAATTAAAGGTAATACATCTTATAGCGACGTTACCTTTTTGATCATTGTTGAATAAAACTATAGTTAGACGTAAGAAAACCATTAAAATTTGCCTTTTATACACTATCAAACTATATCATTGATGAGACAAATACGAAAATAATACGAAAATCTAATTTTTTTATTGTGGAGATAGAGTATCTTGTTAATGACCACTGAAGTTAATCGAAACGCCGATATGATCGTTGTCATCCTTATATTATCAATCATAATTTACATTTCTTCACATTGAATAAAAAATTTAAAACTATCAAACTCATTTAACGAACATCATTTTTTCTTACACAACTATTTCAAATAAAAAAAAAACACCTAGTTCTATTATTATTTGAAAATACATGTGAACAAAGGAGTATATAGATTATAAAGATGAATATCTATAATATGATATGGTTTTATACATAACAGCTATAGAATATAACTTCAAAGAAGACGTCATGTTATTGTTTTATTAATCATCAATACTTCATCTATTTTTATACAGATCTTCCTAATCTTCTGTCGTAAATCTCTATGATTTTATATACTAAACTATATGTGCACCAAAATACTCTTGATTAGATAAAGAATTATTCTCCTATAATACAAAATCCGTAGGTATGGAAGTCCGGTTCTTTCAATAAAACAAGATGTCGCTACTTCTAATACTCATCATTACATAATTTTATCATTGGCTACCAAATGTTGTTAACATTATTGCCTGAGAAACATTGAAGATTATTTTAAATCAAAAATCCTCACCGAGTTTTGGGTTTTTTCCCACACTGGGTATTTCAGTTATAGTACTATTTTTTTACATAGTAGGATATTTCCAATAGCAACTCTCTTTTACATTCTATTTAATTAATTTTAAACTAAAATATATGTCAGCATCAGGATCACGTGGTCGAGGTCGTGGTAGTAAGTAAACAATATTTGAAATAGATCAATTGTAAATATTTAAATAATAATTAATAATTTATTTAGAAAGGTTTAGTCGGTCAGCTACAGGCCCTCCAGAACCCTATCGATCTCAATCGATGGCTATTATACCTGAGAAATTCCATCAACTAAATATAGATAATAATATTCCTAGTCGTCCTCCATCACTCTCTACCACTACTACTACCTCTTCAGGACGTAAATCAAATGGAGAGCAACGTAAATCTACGTCACGTTCTTCAAATGGTCGTGCTAAATCAACACGGCCTTTTCGAGAAACTATTCGTTCAGCTGTACCAGATTCAGCAATAGTCACATTTGCTAGACGGCCAGATCAAGGTGGAAGTGGTAATTGAAAATAAAATAAATAATTCATTTTAGAAAAATTCCTTTATTTTTATTTTATTAGCGGGTTATAAATTAAAAGTAAATACAAATCATTTCAAATGTAATATACCTCAAACATTACATTGTCATCAATATGATATTGAATTACAAACAGCTAATCGAGATGGTACATGGCGTCCATCGAAAAAAGATGATCGTTTTGTTGTTTTAAGAAAAATAATTGAACGTGAAAATTTTCCATTAGTTTGGTATGATGAAGGCAAAAGTCTTTATTCAATTGAGTTACTTGTGGGTTTAAAAGATCAATATGAAATAACTATAAAAGATAAAAAAAGTGATCGAGAACAAACATATCGTTTATTAATTATTAATCTAGTTAAATCATATGATATACAGGTTAGAGATTCAATTGAACAAAAAAGAAAATAAATATATATTTATTTTTATCTTAGGTTCTTTGGGATTTTATTGAGAATAAAATTGCTATTCGTCCTAGAGATCCAATTCGAATCCTTGAAACACTTCTTAAACAAACAACCCGTGCAACAATGGTTTCCGTCAAAAATCAATTCTATGATCGACGACAAACATTAGACGACTTAGGTATAATAAAATTCATTCGTGAAACGGTTAAGAACAAACTAATTGAAATCTATTATTCTTTAATTTAAAGGTGATGGTCGAGGTTTAGCTGGTGGATTTTATCAAGCAATGTTTTTAACGAAACTCGGTGCTACAATAAATATTAATTCTACATTCACTTGTTTTTATCAACCATTCAATTTAGTTCATTTTCTTTGTGAATATCTTCAACATGATATTGTTCGTGATGGTAAAAACTGACTAATTTTTTCTTTTCTTTCTTATTCTTTACTCTATGTAGGTATTAATGACCGTGAACAACAATTATTATTACGAAAAGTTCTTAAGCCCATATGGCTTGAAACTCATCATGGTGAGAATATTCGAAAATATCGTATACGTGGTTTTGGTGCATCCGCTCGTCAACATACATTTGCACGTGTTGTTGATGGTAATAGTGATGATAGTCAAGAACGACAATCAGTCTATGATTATTTTGTTGAAAAATATAATATACAATTAGAATTTCCAAATTTACCTACCGTTGGTAAGAAGTTTTTGGGTTTTTTTTTATTTATTTTGAAATAAATTTCATAGAATTATATACACCGCCGAATAAAACACAATTCCATTATTTACCAATGGAATGTTGTACAATACAAGCATGGCAACGTTCAATAAAACCATTAACTACCGATCAACGTGCTCGTGTAACTAAAAAAACAGTTGTTAATCCAACTCATCGTTATCAAGCAATTATGGATATAGTTAAAACACGAAAATTTAATGAAGATAAATATGTTAATGAAATAGGAATGAGTATTGTCGATGATCAAATGGTAACTGTATCAGCAAGATGTATTGCACCACCTGAAATAAAATATAAGAGTGGACGCGATGGACAAAGTGATATTGTTGAAAGAATTAATATTGGAAAGTAGGAATTTTGTTTTTTTTTCTTCAAACTAATATATTTTTCTAATAAGATGGAATTTGAGAAATCGTTTTCAAACAACAAAAACGATTAATCGTTGGGCATGTGTTATGGTTTCATCTCAAAAACCGAATCAAAATCAATTATCAATAGCAAAACAATTCATTGATCAATTTCCTCTTGTAAATTATTAATATTTGAAAGGAAACAAATGAACTCATTCTCGTTCTTCTATTTAGATTATTTCCCAATATGGAATCTATTTTAATTCAAGTCCAATTATGAATAGTGATCCAGCTAATCCTGATACAATACATAATCGTTTACAAGAATTAAAAGAACAAAATTGTGAAGTTGTAGTTTTTATTCTTAATGGTGTCGGTGAAGATATATATAAATTAATAAAATATTTTGGAAATCAAAAACTTGGTATTGTTACACAGTAAGATTTAATTTGTTTTTTTTCAATTAAAAAAATTACGAATTTTTTAGATGTACAGATTTTGTTGCAATTGCAAAAAATATTCGAAGTAAAAAACTTGATATGGTATGATAAATTTGAAGAGAGAGAGATAGTAGACGAGTGTATAATCCATATTTTATAGTATTTACAAAATCTTGTACAAAAATTTAATGCAAAACTCGGTGGTATTAATGGTATGGTATCATTAGCTCGAGCATTAACATCATCTTCAACGAAAGATGATGTTTTTATGTTTTTTGGTGCTGATGTTACACATATAACATGTTCAAGAGAAAAACCATCTATAGCTGCTATAGTTGGTTCAGTTGATTCAACAAGTTTGTTCGATGTTTTTTTCTTGTGATTAAATTATATATAGGAAAATAAATTTAAGGTACTCAATATGCGTCAAGAGTTGGTGAACAGTATCCTGCTCGAGGAAAAATTTCCTTAGAAATAATTAAAGATTTATATCAAATGTCAACTGATTTATTAAAATTATTTGCACAACGTAACCATTGTTTTCCAAATAAAATTGTTTTCTATCGTGATGGTGTTGATGATGGACATTTTCAAAAAGTACTTGATAATGAAATACGAGCATTACAAAATGCTTGTAAAGGTATTTTGATTTCGACATAAAAAAAGAAGATTTTTTTCTCATCTATTTCATTTTAGCACTTTATTTGAATAATCCATTACCAAAAATTACATTTATTATTGTTAAAAAACGTCATAATACACGATTTTTTATTCGAGATCCTCAAACAGGAAATATGAATAATGTACAACCCGGTACTATTGTTGATACGGATATTGTTCATCCACAAGGTTTTGATTTTTATTTAAATAGTCATGCTGCTATACAAGGTAGATTTCAATATGAAGAAAAAAAACAATAACAAGAAATATTTGTTTTATTTAGGTACATCGAGACCGATTTTATATCATGTTTTATATGATGAAATTGGTTTTTCATCGGATGAAATACAATCTTTAACGTATTATCTATGTCATTCGGATGTTCGATGTACCAAAGCAGTATCAGTACCAGCCCCGGTTCATTATGCACATTTAGCTGCATATCAGTCAAGAGATGCTGATAGTTTTGATAATGATCGAAGTACTACCGAGTAAGAAAATATATATTTTTTTGTTATGTAGAAAAGATTAATTTCTGTTTTTTCATATTAGTGATTTTGATGATAATGATTTAGTTGAAAATGTTGGTGCAGTAACATTACAAGAAGTTGAAACAAGACTTATTCAACTTGATCCTACTATTCAAGATACGATGTGGTATGTATGAAAAACAACATTCGTATCAATAGAAAAGAAAAAAAACGAATATGCATGTGATATATTTATTATATTTTATTCTTCAATATTGTGATGACGGTCCTCATCCGCTTTTAAAATGTTTCTCTTTTTTTTATTTTATTTTCATTGATGTTGTTTTTACAATATATTTAAATTGTATGTGAAAAAAAACTATACAGTGAAAAAAATAATCAAATAAATCTACAAACATTTTATAAAAATTCGACTTATATTTATTAGAAATTCATAAAAAGTACAAGAGACTATTTTCGAATAATAAATAATCTGAAGAATAATTTAACCAACTTTATAAACTTCAACCTCAAATGTCGTAAAATTCTTAGCTCCTGTGAATGTATTATTACCTTTGCCTGTTGTATCAATATATGAATGAGGAAAATCAGTCGAACTAGAATTATTTTTGTTACTATTATCAGACACATGAATATCATAACCACCACCAAATATAGCTCCATAGCTATTATTATGATAAACAGCATATGCAGCACGATCAGACCGGATAATATATTTCGTAGGTGGAATATTATGAGGATTTATTAGTGTGAATAAAAATGCTGTCCTATCTGCTTTACACTGAGAATTTGAAGTCCATGGAACGACTGTATAACCTCCAAATATACAGTTATTATTTGATCGAATAATTGTCATTGTTGGTCCTTTATTATTACAATGTGTATGAAATGCACTAGCACTAAATCCATCACGTGTTGCTTTGTATATTAGTTCCCATTTTTGATTAGCTTTGCCACAAAATTCATTAAGTTTTGCTTTATGTTCTGGCTGAAGTAATGCTCCATTTATAATACTTTTCTCAGTTGCCAATCGTTCTTCATCTTCTTTTTCTACTTTGTGACGTATTCGTAAAGATTCTGTTATTGCATGAATAAGTTTGTGTAAACGAAAATAATGAGCTTCGATAAGAAGACTTTGTAGAAATGTTTCATCTTTTATCATATTTGTTGGTATTACATTTGATCGTAAATAATCAAGAATATAACTAAACATTTTACCATTTCGATCAATAAAAATACTTTTATCTTCAGGATCTTGTTCAAGTTCCCATCGTCTTGAGAATAGTAATGTAAAGAATGTATTCTTCTCTTGTGTTAATGTTTCAATACTTGTAGTATATTTTTCACCTCCAACATTGAGTATAACCACACCTTTACGTAATGCTGCCATTGGTTTTCTCAGTTCAGTATGCATTTTTATGACTTCACAACATAATCTCTCCGTTGCTTGAATACTATCATTATATTCATTCAGTTTTAAAAGGACATCTTGACGAAGTTTGTTAAAGCCAAGTCTAAGTTGTTTTACATTATCGTGAAGATTAGCCAAAGCTGAATTCATACTTAAAATAAATATTTCAGTAGTCGTCGCTACGTTGAACTTTATCGATAGTGAAATAAATAAAAATAAAGAAATAATTTTAGTGTTCGTTGTTTTCGTCTCATATACATAATGCATAACAAAATAAAACTAATTGAAAGCATGGAAATTTTTAATTAACTATTCTATCATCACTTGTTTTCCACATTGAATTCTATATATTTACAAACTAATTTAGAACATGTTTTTCTTGTAGTGTTTCGAAATATTTTTACATACAGCAAGTGAACTAATCAAAGTTATTTTAACGCGTGGATGTGGATTCATAGTACATTAAGTCATTTCAAGAAACTCTTATCTATTTATACTGAAAGTTATAATACTAAGTCATACTTGACTGCTAACTATCAAGTTATTGTTTAATTAGATTCTTTACTCATACGATAGATTTCAATGAATTATGAATTTTCATCTGTAATTGTGAATGAAGGGAAATGGTATGAAGTGTTTGAAAACAATATTTCGTAGCTTCTTTCACAATTTATGAACAAGATCAATTATTAGATTTACAACGACAAATATCCTCTTCTATAGTATTTTCAATGCAACTAATACGAGTCAAATAGCAATAAATCATAGTATGTGGTCAAATATGGATACTGATATACTAATCTAACGATTTCTGCAGTATTATCATCGATCTTCTATTTAGATAAAAAGAATAATTTATCAATTATCAATTATAAAATAAATTCTATATTTACATCATCAAACTATTGATGATAGTGAAAAGTTTTAGTAATATAAAAATTGACAAAATAAGTGTGTCGATACGGTGAGAAACATATAACAACAAATAAGAAAATAAATAACAAGAAAATCGAAGTCAAATAACATTAAATATGTAATGAAAACAACTATATAAGATTCGAAATAGAACTAAAACTCATGTTGTACACCAACTGATATCCATAAATGAAAAGAATAACAAGAGATTTCATTCTATTATTATAACCAAAAGAAACTATAGACTAATATTGAGAGAATCGACATAATTAACATTGTAAATATGTGTGACTTTCGAACAAGTCAAATAAAACAAAAAGAAATGTATAAATGAAAATTTGACAAAGAAATTTATAGTGAATGTAAAGATCACTGATATCCATTGCATCATAGAAAGATACAGAACTTCTATTACCGTATAATTGGCATAAAGACAATTGAGATAAGTTGCTTATGTCTTGTCTGAGAAAGAACCGTCTATATTTGCAATAAAACTAAAATACAATAAATAATTTCTACTCTATTACACATACTCAAAATTTTTGTCTGAATAAATATTATTAATTTTTACAATAATTTGAAGATAACATCTCTAACTTATTAAATTTGTGAAAAGGAGAAAGTCTCGAAGAGGTTGTCAGTATAGAACGTTGGTAAGAAAAAGGTTCCGATAAATATTTACCGTCTATGCATCACTGCTTTCTTTTTCTTGTTCGTTAGATGTTGAATATTTTGTTATTTGCTTTCACAACCGAAAGGAAACAGGAAACAAGAAACAAGACAAGCAAGGTTACCATTAACTTTTACCAGCATAAGAACAGATAACAACAAATATATTTAACAAGAAGATATCTTCGTAAGAGGAACGCTGGCAAATGGAAATAAATTTAAATACAATTCGAGACAACACAAAACAATTAAGCACTCGTTTTGAGACAGTTCGTGAAGATCTTATTAAAAAACTCGGTGAATGCAGTGATTATATTCGAATTACTGAGACGCTGTGTGATCAAGCAATAAAAATCTATGCTGAATTAGGAAGTAAACTAGTAAATGTATCTAATGAAGAAAAAGAATGGAAAGATATCAAACTCAAACTAGCATCAACATCTATTAGAGGCAAAGTTATACTCGATGTTGGTGGTCACAAATATACTACAAGTGTTGATACATTAACACGTGAGAAAAATACTTTCTTCACTGTACTCTTTTCAAGGCGATGGGAACTTGAACGTGATCCAAATGATAATAGTGTATTTATTGATCGTGATGGAAAGTTATTTAAACATATTCTATCATATTTACGAACAGATAAAATACACAATGATGTTATGACTAGTGAACCACTTCGTCAACTTCTTATTATCGAAGCAGAATATTTTCGTTTACACAATCTGATTCAAAGATTGACAGAACCTGAACGAAAACGTGAACAAGAAGAAGAAGAGCGCTTTTCTATTGACAAAGGTTTTCCAAATACAACATTACTTAAACCAGAATATAAAGTGAAACTCAATGAGTTCTATGGTAAGAGTAATCAAAAATGGGAACTAATATACAGAGCAACACGTGATGGATTTACTGCCAATGCATTTCATGTGCGTTGTAATAATAAGGGACCAACAATGACAATTATTCGATCGAACAATGACTCTATATTTGGAGGTTATACTCGTATTTCATGGACTTCATCTGAACAGTATGAGAATGATGAAACAGCATTTTTGTTCACATTAGCAAATCCTCACAATATTCCACCTACGAGATACATTATTAAGCCTGATCGTGTAGCATATACCGTTTATCACAGCGCTAACTATGGACCTACATTCGGTGGTGGTCACGACATTTATATATCTGACAGTAGTAACAGTAATAATATTAGTTATACAAATTTTCATCATTCATATGATGATACAACGGGGAAAGGTAAAAATACGTTCACAGGAGCAAAATACTTTACTTCATCTGAGATTGAAGTATATAAATTAGCTTAGAACTACGCGTTCATTATTTGTTTTTAAATTCAATGTAGAACAAATGTTGTAATTGCTCATTTCTAGGATCTATTTTTTATTGTATCTATTTTTTTTGTGAGATCAACTTGTTTTTTAATAAAAGTGTAAAAAGTAATAATTTTGTGTATTTTACTTTCTATTGATTGTTTCTTTTGAAAGCAAACTTAAATATACGACCTCTTGTTGAGGATGGGTGTGGGTGAATATGTTTGTTTATCATATCCACACTCACATCATCAGTTCAATGAAACTTTTTTTTATTTCTATTTTAAAATTCATTTTATCATATAATTGCACAATATGACAATGATATTCCATGTTAGAACTATTTTATATTTATTATTTCAAGTTCCTTCATATTTTGCATAAAAATGTATCATTTTTATCATAGTCGCTCATTAATAGTATTATTTCAACAACAAATTGTTACACTTTTTTTCAAACTTCTAAAAGTGGCAATTATTCATCAAACACTTAATTGGACATACAGGACGATAAATAAAAATGGTATAGCTTTTACATCTATAACAAGATAGAAACCAAACTCTATTGTACTATAGATTGAACGATTTCAGTTTTAACATATATCATCGATCAGAAACATTAAACAATTAAAATTCACTGTTTTATCTCTGCACTGAAAAGTATGATATTAGTTCAAACTTGACGCTAACTATCAAGTTATTGTTTAATCGGACTCTATAATCATATACGATATATTTTAATGAGTTATGAATTTTCATCTTTAATTCTCAATGAAGAAGCGATATAACATTTTTCAAAAGAACATTTCATAGGTTCTTTCATTATACATCAATCACAATTTATCAACAAGATCAATTATTAGATTTACAACGATAAATATTCTCCTCTATAATGCTTTCAATATAAATAATATTGTTAAAAGTGAAAAAGCAATAAACCATAGTATCTTTTCGAATATTGATACTAATATACTAAGCTAACGATTTCTACAGTATTATCATCGATCTTCTATTTAGAAAAGAAATCTGATTTCAAATAAAATATTACTACTCAAATAAGAACAATTTGTTAATGATAAAATAAATTCTATATTTATATCATCAAACTATTGATGGTAGTGGAAAATTTTAGTAATTTAAACTTGACAAAAACAAGTGTGTCGA